AACAATAATAATAAAAAAGAAATTTATAATTTTGAAATTTTATGGAAGATTTAAGACAAAACGTTCTGGTTGCTTCTAATATAACTGATAATGATATAAAGAACTTGGTTTAAAAAGCATAGGTTCGTTCTTGTGACTTTAAAGTAACCGATAGAAATAATATATTTAATAAAAATTGGTTTCTTGGTAAAGCAATTTTAAAACATAGTTTCTTAAAAAAATTGAAAAATAATAAAAGAAAGAGTCTGTCTGTGTGTGTGTGTGTCTTTCGTTTGCGCTGCGCGTAAGCTAATAGACCCACGGCTACGAAATTTGGTACATAGGTGCATCTAGACAAGAGCCAGTGCACCTCCAAGCGATTTTTTCGAAATTCGAATTCGAATTTTTTTTTATTTTACGTTTTGTGACGAAATCGCGTCATTTTGAGACATAATGGGCTATAGGAAAGCGAGATTTTACTCTACACACTCCATTTTCACATCGTCATGAAATGTAGGTACTTAGCTATTTTACGAACTTAAAATAAATTTCGTGTTTCAATAAATCGATTAAATACGAATTTATTTAACAAAGGGAGCTTAACACCTTTTCAACGGGATTTTTTCTAAAAAAGTTTATTTTAAAAAAAGGTACAGTTTATTTTTCTTTGATTTTTGGACACGTTAAACTTTCATCCTTGCGACTGCTTTTACAAAACGAATTTTGGAAAAATGATAATATTTCGTATTTTAAAAAAATTTTTAAATGAAGCTTCCGAGTACACTTCTCACATCTCACATCTTTAAAAATGTGATTTTGGCAACCATTTTCCTTTCTTATTGTTGTTGATAGATTTTTGATGAAATCGCATCATTTTGAATAGTTTCATTCTTTTAGAAATATGGGTTTGGCAACAATTTTTCATCGTATTTCTTATGTCACTGTTTTTAAGAGATTGGCATACCTCATTGTCATTTTATATATATATATATATAATACATTTTTATTGATTTTTTTTTTTTTTTTGATGATAGAGTTGTTCTGCAGAGTAAAATTCTGCGCTGAATTTTATGTTTTTTGAGTTTCTTTCATGTTATTTTTTGCTTATTTCACTGTTTGTAAGATATTAAAAAGTTTAGCATGAATTTTTTTTTCAACGGAAAGTTGGTTAATTTTTTTATATGTAATATATTTTTTTAAAAATGTGTGGGGTTTTTTTTTTCGGAAGTTTTCTGCAGAGTAAAATTTTGCGCAGTTTTTAAATTTAACATTTGGTGTTCCCTTCAAGCATTTTTACGGTACATTTAAAAGACAGACGAAGGCTGGCAGCGTAGCTGCTAGTTACTAATATAATAGTGTAAGAGATTAAAAAGTACTTTTTTTTTCTTTTTCTTTTTTAAATTATAGTTATTTCTATGCTAAGAACTAGCGAATGGAACTATTTTTGGATCTAAATCCCTTCAGTAATACGTTTTGCTCTAAAATCTTAGATGAATTTAATAGAATACTTTATAACTTGATTTAATAAGTGCATAGTTCAGCCATACCTTAATATCCCTCATTGCGCCCCATATTCTCAAGCAACTTAATGCTACATTATTTCAGATTAGTGCCGCAGAGACGGGTAAGTGGTTAGTGACTGATTGCCGTACAGAAGGGCCGAAGTTCGAATGTCAGATAAGACACGGATGTAAATTGTCTGTACCCTCATAGGAGGCAATGATGGCCCATCTTATTACCCTCTTAATAAAGTGACCACCGCTTCCGGCCTTAGTAATGTTCTTTGCCTCTAACGGCTAGTGCTGGCCATTGGAAATTTACAAAAAAAAAAAAAAAAAAAAAAAAAAAAAAAAAAAAAATTGATTAGCCTCATTTAAAGATCTGTGGCAAAGTACTCGAGGCAGTCTAACAAAGAAAAGGAATGTCTTTATTAATGAATTTGCTTTTTTAAGAGAGATTGGCTCATTTATATGCTATATATGAAAAATGGGAAAAACATGAAAAATCTCATGCAGCCTGTTCGTTCCCCGGGATCTGAATCCTGTCGAACTACCAGAGTCTAGCGGTTTCATTCTCTGCAGCCTGAAGGATTATTTACTTAAAGCACAGTACATCATGCCCGTCTGTTCATAGGATAAATGTCTTCGTGAAAGATTTTCTGAGCGAACCTGTAACGTAAATAATATTTGGGTTCAAAGATATTAGCAAAATATCTAAAATAATGTTTACAAAATATATTATGTAGCAATTAGAATTTAATCTTAAACACACTTTCAATATGAAACTTAAAACGACTGAAAACACGTGCCTATAATTTGTAAGAAAGTGCTCTGATCACTAGGCACTGTGAAACAACAACAACAACAACAACAACAAAAAAAAAAAATATTATTTACAGCCAACATATACAAGACAAAAATAAGTGTAAGCATAACAATTAAATTTTCATATGCAGAATAGTAATCCATAGAGTAAGATTTCGATTCTTATAATATGACTTGCGTGTGGTACAAGGTTACTTGTCAGGACTTAGTGTTCTGTGCATACTTTTGGCAAACATAATGGTGACAGTACCAATGTCCTGAACTCGAACAGTGAGCTGAATGCAGCTATGTTCTTGTGAGTGCTAGAAGAATTACAACGTAAGAAGGGTGTAAAAGACCCTTTTATTTAAACCACTATTTACAGCAACTCCCAACTCGGGAGTGATAACAGAAAAATAATGACCGCGCTTGGGTCTAAACTGAACAATCAAGCAATTTAAAGTAAAACTTCAGTAGACGTTTAAATAGTCGCTGTTCACAGAGCTTAAACGCGAGATTGGCCTATTTATGGTGCGTAGCAAACCTTTGCTAAGTACTAACGCACTTAAATCTCTTCAATCAGTATTAGAGGAATAGCACTAAGGCGTAAGAATTTAAAACACTAAACTATTCTGGCGAACGTCCACCGAGCCAACGTGGTCTGAGACTAAAAGCTCTCTCAGACTTGAGAAGTTCCTCACTAACCTTTAAATACAAAACTTGGCTCCAACACAATTAGCATAAAGCTGAACCGCGCGCTCATTCTGAAGGGAAGTTGAAATAAGAGTTTACAGGAAAAGGTAACTTAAAATAAAAAGAAACTTGGTTAGTTTAACTTAAAACCTTACATACTTTACTTTAATATTTTCAGATATCAGCTTCCATAAAAAGTAAGTACTGAAGATATCTGAGGATCCTCAACAACAACCCAAACAACATCCTCAGGAGATCTTCATATATCCCGGGACATTACGACTTCAGCAGGACATCCTTAAGATGTTGATTTACGAAGTCCTCAGGATATCTGAAAATCATCATCCTGAGGAGATCTTCATATATCACTGGATATCGAGACTTGAATAGGATATCCTCAGGATGTTGACTTAAGAAGTCCTCCGGATATCTGAGAATCAACATCCTGAGGATATCCTAACTGTTTCCCGAGACATTGCGACTTAAATAGGATATCCTGAGGATGTCTTGTGTTATGGGGGAAACAAACAAACATTAAAAAAAAAAAAAAAAAAAAAAAAAAAAAAAAAAGAACCGCAGATGTTTAGAGGTTTATAGTTCATGTCCTTCAAATACTTCTCGAGATAATCGAGATAATTTGTTCAAGTGATGTTGGTAAATAGAAATGTTTGTCTAATGTAGAATGTATTTATGCAGTTATGTTTAGTGTAATATTGTTATTTGTTAAACAAACAAACAAAGAAACTGGTAAGAAGACTTTTCTATCCTGATCATATTTTGTTTTCTAAGTACCCCCTGCACCTGGTCGGGTAGGGGACTGAAAATTTTCAGTATCCATGTCAGCCATCAGGAACTTTGACATTTCGTGTGAAATCTAGTGTGTCAACTAATAAACCTATGAACTCTGATTCTGACAAATTCGAAATTGCTTATGATGAACGCTGTGTTTTGTTTCTGATGAACTCTACATTATTTCTAATGAACACTGAACGGTTCTGTTGAACCTGTTGTGAAAATTAGCCTTAAGAGGCAAATCTTCATCTTAGTGGGGGCGTGTAAGGCCCATAGCCCCAGGAGAAGGAAAAGCCTGCCCGAAAAAAATTATTAGTCCGACGTGACGACTAATTATTTGGTTTGGTCAAGTGGTCAATTATTTGGTCAAGCGGTTTGTTGGACGGAAGTAATAAAAAAAAAAAAAAACAAGAAAAAAGTAGACAAGAGGAACGAGAAGACCGGTGGGGCAAAAGGGGTTATTTCTGACCCTGGATGTCGAACGGGACGCCCCGATTTTTTTTTTTTTTTTTTTTTTTGTTATGCAGAGATTGTTTTCTCATACGGAGACAATGCCGGAATTACCTATTCATGATTGTACCTATAATATATAATAATCAAGAACTGTTTACCTATTAAAGTTTTTTGTTAAACAAACAATAAAAAGGTGTCGTCTGCGTCGATCGACAGTGTGAAGGAAATAAACCCCACTCTACGGTAATACAATGATTCTTATTTCTATCGGTACGACTATGGCAGTCTACTACATTTGGAATTTGTTTTATTATCTATTTCATACTTTGTAAAGCATTTATGACTTTTTGATTAAGAAACTCAACGATTTCAAAGTGAGTAATGGCAACACTATAAGGAAAAAAACATTTTTATCTCCAGCGCGCAACTGGGTATTTGAAATTCTAACGATATGCTCTTTTAAATATTTTGTGATATTGCTGTTTAATTTAGTTTTATGGTTTAAGAACGAAGAACATGATATTTAATAAACAAAGGTAGCACAAAAAACGTTAAAAAACCCCCTCTGAAATCTGAAAGCTTTCAGATTTTTTTTTTTTTTTTTTTTTACTTGCTATTCTCCTGATTTGTTTTAATTATTTGAAAAATTAGTTCCTAATACATCAAAACTCAAACTCTTGTTTCCTTTTGTGTATTCAAAAGACTTTTTGTCAGTCAAATGTAGACGAAACATTCATTATTACCAAATACCACGTTGCTGGTTTCCGTTTCCTCTTCGTTTGTTGACACATCCGTTACTGCACACTTAATCCGTTATTTGATACAAGCTTGATTCGATCACTGGATTGAGAAAATAAACATTATCACTCGTAAGTTTCCCTCATTTAGTTTAAATAAATTTATTTTAAGCTCTTTCAATTTAGTATGCATTTAAATGTGAATAAGAAAGCTTATACAAATATGTACAGTTTATTAACGTTTTACTTACAATTTCCAAAGAATATTTTACACCATTATTTATGTGAATCAGAGCCGAGATTTAAAACTGATATTTGCTAATTAGTGGAAAAACAGTTTTTATTATTAACATGTAAAATCTCAATATTTAATTTTTAAGATATATAAGTATCCTAATTTCAAAGCTCTGTTTAACTTTTTATACAAGTGTACCACAAAATATTATAAAAGGGCAAAATGAACTTGTATTCAGTTACCATTATAATATGCAACCATCGATAGATGAGAATAACACTTCAGAAAAAAATTTAAAATGTTTTTTAAAATTCATTGTTAGTTCAAAATTTCTATGTTTGATGCCTTCCCACGAATCTTCTGAAACTTAACGCATTTCATGTCTCGTTGCTATAAAATGAAGATTGAGAAAATACTTTCTAAGAAATAGAACGTACTTTAACTCTTCCACTTTCAAATAAATTTTGATTTCTAACAAAAAAGTAACTTTTTATTTTGATTTAAAATCACTTTTTTTATTTCTTATTTTGAATGGGCTCTACTTTTCAATTTGGATTAACCTTGTGAACCTGAGTGTATTTTTTCCTTAAGGATATTGTAAAATAAATTTTATGAAACTATTTTTTTTTGAAAAATATGATATATTTTAGTTCTTAATCACATAGATACTGTTGCTAAATTTTGAGCTGTACATTACTTTATTCACTTTTCCAATTCTCGTTTTTTGAGATAGTTTCATTATTGCTAATAATACCTAAATATAAAGTAACGAAATGCGGAAAATTTTAAAATGAGACTCATTGTTTTATTTTAATTTCATTTAAATGCAACATAATTCGAAGTTTAAAAAGAAAATGTTATTACTTACTATCTCAAAAACAGAAAGTTTACAAAATTTAACTTTGTTACAGTTAAATAATATTATGATTATTAATTTTAAATGCTGTTTTAAGGAAGAATTAAAGATTGTTTACTACAGTCTTTTTTAATTTAAATTCTCAGCTTTTTACTAACAATAATCTGTAATTCGAACTAGAGAACTTCTAATTATATAATTACATAATTCCTTAATAATAATAATAGAAATTAAATATTTGGTTTCCTCCATAATTTACAGTGTTTTTAACCTCTTTACAGGATTATTCTATATTAATTATTTATTATAATCTTAGTAACTTTAATCTTCCTGCATATGATATATACACTCATATCTATATAATGTGCTTTATATTTGTGGACGATATATATATATATATATACATATCAAAATATTAAACATATAAACGTTTTAAAATTTTGTTTTGAGACGTATTGTAGTTAACTTCGTAATTTGATGTTTAGACGATTAGAAATCGATGTGATTGAGCTAAAAACGTGATCTTAAATTTCTGCAATAAAAAAGATACACACATGCATTCAACCATAATTAATTTTTAATGTTTATTTGACATTGTTCAGTTCTTTTGTTATTATTAAGTTTTCTGATGCATTCAAAGTAAATTTGCTTAACATTGATGAATATTTTTATTATTTTATTTTAAAATTGCTATATTCTTTTTTGAAATGGAAATAATTTCCATTTCACTAAAGATGTGGTAACGATACTGAACTTCAGTTCGAAAGTTAGTTGCATAACTTTCAATACTTTTTAATGGAACCTATTTTGTTGTTATTGTCCTAAACTGTTAGCTTATAGTCCATGAATAATTCCGTCTACGGTATATACTATACCTATTTTTTATTGATCATAAACCTTTGGCTTATCAGTAATACTACGACTTTTGTCCAAATTCATCTTAATTTTGGCCGAGAACACACCTAGCAATGGCATCCAGGAGTCTCGCACTTCTGTTCTATTATCATCACTGGAAAGAATTTTCATTCTGCATTGATATTTCAGACCATACGTCTATATCATACGTCTTTAAGCGAGATTCGAACCGCGGACTTTACAGAGATGCATCGATTACCCTTCAGGGACGCCATGATTTTATATCGACTATAAGCGACAATCAGTGGCATGTAACTGAAAAGGCTCAGTATTCTTAGTTTTTCTTATCATTTGATATTTAGTTAATGTTCATGTTTTCTCGCAATAATGTGTCTTTTGCTTTTATCTAATCTTTATTAAAATTACCACAAACTTTCAAAGAATTTCCGTAATTACAGCTAAATAAACAACCATATATATTAAATAGAAAGTGATGACTTATGGAAGTTCTTCCAAACTATAAAAGGAACTTTTCAATCTTTATTCAGTTTTTGCTTCCTGTTTTTACGTATATAAATTTTAACAAGAATTTCACTTATCGTTGTTATCATGTAAAATTACATTTGGTTGTCTGAAAGGTTATGACGTATTTTTTTCTATGTTCTTCAAATGTCCTTTATTTATATAAAGAACAATGAGCAACTAGAAGGGCATTCCCATTTTGTTCGATAATTTTTTGCTTTCTTTTAATGAACTTCGTAATTCCTCATTCCTCATTCATTTCTTCGTCCTTCCTCATTTATCGACGAAAACTTGATACTGATTTACGACCTCATCTGAATTTACCGTTATACACGAAAGCAATTTTGAAGAGAGCGAAACAGATGAAAAATCTGAGGGCACAAAATCAGGCGAGCATGATGCGCGAGGTGACACTTTTCATTCTAATTCCAATAATTTTTGTCAGGTGATGTCAGGTTGTGTATGGTCTCGTGTTATCGGGAAGGAATGCAGTTCTTATTCGATTAATGAGCTTTGGAATTTCCTTGAAGATGGATTCGTTGAAATGCTCCAGTTTGCGACAGCACACATTTGAACTCTTGGCTCGTTGGTAGGAGCTTGAAAATGTGCCACACATAAGTTTGATCTCTGACAAAAATTATTGGAGTTTGAATGAAATGTGTTGCCAAGTGTATCATGACTTGCCTGATCTTGTGGGCTTAGAGTTTCATTTGTTTCTCTGTCTTCGAAATTTCTTTAGCAGTGTAAAATTCAATTCAGACGAGGCCGTAAATCAACACCTTGTTCAACTTTTCACTGATAAAGCAAGATTCTTTTGTGAATGAGAGATTACGACACTCATTAAAAAAAGTAAAATGTTATCAAAGAAAATGGGCAATATACTATTGACCGCTCACTATTCTTTATATAAAGAAAGGATCTTTGAAGAACATAGAAAAAATGCGTCATGACTTTTTAGACAACCTAATATAAAACGATAATTTCTGGGCGTTATCTGCGAACATGAAACTGAATACATACGCGCATACAGACACCAGTACGATTTGTTCTATTGAATAATATCAAAACTCATTTCATAGGTGCTTATAGGTAAAATGGTTATACATAGATACGTACACTGACTACCAATAAGTATTTGGACATCTGTGATAGAAAATAAAAACTAACTTTATTCAAAATCAATAGTTTGTAGAGCCTCCACGAGAGGTAATTATAGCGTGGACCCTCAGGGGCATACTTTCCACAAGTCCTTGTATGACAGCTATTGGTATTTGCTTCCACTCAGCTTGGAGAAGACATAGAAGTTCCTTCACCGATTTTGCACGGTTCGTGCACCCCTGAATTCGGCGATGCAACTCGTCCCAGAGGTTCTCGATAGGGTTCAGGTCTGGACTCTGGGCAGGCCAGTTCATTCGATGAACTCCATTGGCACCAGACCAAGCCTTGGTTAACGTCGAAACATGACAACTGGCATTGTCATCTTGAAAGTAACAGGAGTCCAACCCGTAAACCTGCCACAACGTAGGAAGCACATTGTCATCCAAAATAGTGCAGTAGGCATCGGAGTTGAGCTTACCATGAATGGGGACCAAGGGTCCCAGCCCATACCAGGAGAAACACCCCCAGACCATAATTCCACCTCCGCCGAACTTGACCGTTGGAACAATACATTCTGGCAGGAGACGTTCTCCAGGTAGACGCCAGACCCAGACCCTGCCATCCGAAAGGTAAAGGGTGAACCTTGATTTGTCCCTCCAAAGAACCCGTTTCCACTGATCTACAGTCCAATTTCGATGTGCTTTGCACCACATTAACCGAGCAGCACGGTTGGACATTGTGATCAAAGGCTTATGAGCAGCAGCACGACCATGAAAACCAAGCAGATGTGCTTCCTTACGAATGGTATTCATTGAAACAATACTCCCGGATGCCTGTTGAAACTCCTCGCGGATGATGGCTATCGGTTGGGTGCGGTTCTTCCGAATTTCTCTGGACAGCACTCGTCGGTCTCTATCTCCCAGTTTCGTTGGTCTGCCGACTCGAGGCACATTCCGACAATCACCGCTCACCTTCCACTTCTTAATCACATAGGCCACTGTCGATATTGGGTACTTCAGATCGCTAGATATGTCCCTTAAGGATCGGCCACATTTGTGATACCAGATAATTATACCTTTCTCAAAATCAGAGAGCTCCGAACTGCGAGGCGTCTTGCATGCGACTAAAGCCGATGCTGTTTCCTACACGATATATACCGGCGGAGTCCGTGACGTACCTTAGGACCGCAGATATCGTCATTTGCATAGATGTCCAAATACTTATTGGTAGCCAGTGTATATGTGCTTATAGATAGATACAGGTGGCCCTCGACTCGCACAATTTAGTATTCCGCAAATTTTTAATTTTTAAAAATTCAATTTTTTAAAGATTTTTGTCGATATTGCAAAAATTGTTCTCTTCCATACAGTCGTTGCCATTTACGTTGATAAGAGTGGTGCATCACTGAAGTTTTCAGGTTCGAGACCCAAACTCCATCGAGAAATAGTCCGCATGAGCACATCAGCAATAAATGTTAATGACCATATCAATTGATGGACAACTGCACGAAATTTAAAATGTAATGGTTCGAGCATTTTCTTTAAGCCTTCAGAAGGTAGAAAGACC